GGGGGAGATGGGCGAGGGAGAAATTTAATAAATAAATAAATAAATAAATAAATAAATAAATAAATAATCAAACATTTCCTATTAGCGCAAATAATTGGTCCAATTATCTGAATAAAAAGGCAGGTGTTATTTAGCAAAAGCCAACATTATCCTTCTCATGCTGCTTATACATATGAGTAGTTTAAGTCATGTATGTGCAAATCAGTTTGAAGCCAAACTTTAATCATCTTCACTTCTGGGCTCCAAACACTGATGACTGGAAGAGAACTATATGAGCCAACCAGTTTTTCCTCTATTTGCCTAACAGAGAGTTAAAAAATGGGATTCAAACAATTTTTTGACCTCAGAGACTGGTAGGCAGGAAAGACCATGCTGCTTATATAAGCAGAACAAATCAAGCCATGCAGTTGTTGGGTTTTGTTTTTTTTTACATGGATGTGAAGCTAGCTAAATCTAACTAGGTTGAAGCATACACTCAGCAAGAACTTGCATGCACTCGAGAGTTGGGAAGCATGATGAAGCAAGAGCAGCACAAAAGTGCTGCTGTCCAGTGTCGAAGCCAGCATTCCAGTATGCCAATTCAAAGATGTGCTGGCTACACTTCAGACCTCTATTCTGCTTTGGCAAAGAAGCAGAAGAGGGATTCATACTGCACTGAGGTCCCAGGGGAGGGGAGAGGCAAGGTGGGGAACCCATTACTGGCAATGAGGAGCTACAGGCCAGGTCTGTTGTCAGTTCTCCAGTCCCGTGGGATTGGAGGACTGGACCCAAAGTAGTCATTCTCTGCTGTTTTTCTCCCCTCTGCTTCTCCTGCCACCCAGAGCAAGAGAACTCCCTTCTCTCCCTTGGTGCTGTTGCCAGGAGTGTCAGACAAAGTGGGGTGGGTGGAAGAAGAGTGCAGGTGGGCAAGCTGCTTTTCCCAGGATATTCTGCACCAGCAAAGTGGCTCTGCTCCCTGCAAGCCTACCCCACCTCAGGCCAGGAGTGCAGGCAGCAGAGTTGCTTTCCCCATCTTAAAATGACCCTCCACCATGACTTTGGCATTACAGCTGAAGACCTGAGATGGGGGAATATGTCCACCCATATGGTCAGTGGTGCAACAGTACAAATGCTGGACACATGTTTAAAGCGTCCCCTGCTCCTCCACAGCTTTGCCACTTTAATACACACAGTATATCCACCAACCCTCCCCTCAGCTTTGCCATGGGTGCGCTGAAGCCCTTGGGGGTGTTTTGAATGTGTCCTATGGTATACCTTTTTAATAAGTGCCAGGAATATATCACAGCAGTCCACTGATACAATACTGACAAGCATCGAGGTGACCTGGGTGGTCTACCAATTGACTGCTGGACATGTGCATAAAACCCCCTGCTGTTAGGCACCGTAGCAATTGAATCTTGGAGGGAGGGTCAACTGTACCACAGGGGAAGCACCTCTTCAGATTCCACTCCTGTGGTGGAATGAACCTTTCATGGGCAAAAGTGGGTCCTGCTGCTCCTGCCACATAGAGAGAGCAGAAGACAAGGGAGAGAGAAGCAGAGATGAATGGACTCTTTGCTGCCAGCAGAAGATTCACTTCCTACTTCTCTTTTCTCTGGCAAGAAAAGAATCTTTTCAGTGGCAGAAGAACTGGGACCCAAAAGTTCTGTAGAAGCCTTAGGTGGCCAAGAGGATCAGGACAGAGTGTTAGCCTTGCAAGAAACTATGGGCAGAGGCTTCCTTCGCAGTAGGTGATATTTATGTTCCTGTCCACAAAAAAGTTACTGTAGTGAGCTATCTTCACACTGGGACAAGCAGAATGTGCTATCCTCAGTCTTGTCTGAAATACAAGCACAGGCCCAGGGTGCCAGTTCTTGTTCCTGGTTCCATGCTGCAGCTTCACCTAAGTATCAGAATTTTTGTTATAAATTAGGAGAGAGGGAGAACCTAGATTAGGCTAAACTGGCTGTTATAGTCCAACTTCTATCTCCTATCACTTTCTCCAGGAGAAGCTGAAATAGAATAGACAAGCTTTAGTGTGTCAGATGCAACAGCTTTTTGCTCTTACTGGCAAACCTCAAGCATCACCTCTTGTCTGGCTTCATAAGAAAGAAGATGGAAAGAAGAAGAGAAAGAAGGGCTGTTAACTCAGTACTAAAGAGGAAGTGAATTTTCCTTTACCCAATTCAGGCTGAATCTTTAAGCAAACTGTTTCTGACCAAATTGGATTAGAGAGGCATCATGGCATGTGGTATCAAAAAGTCAGCTGGAGGAGTTGAAAGGCAATCTATCTGAAGCTCTGGCACAAACGAACACACATTTGAAAAGAGAAACAAGAAACAAATAATGCTAACTCACTGCTAGGCTTGATGTAGATCCACTGGGTCTGGGAACCTGGGCTCTAAAACATAAAGGAACAAAACAAAACAGTGTAATATGAAAAATATGTACAAACTCAAGGTGAAAATACAGGTCAGATGCCGCATAAAAACTAGAACAAGCAGCCTGTTGCATAAGGAATCTTACCAAATCTTGATTACAATAACTGGCTGCAGCTATTTTCTGCAAATCATATATGAACTTAAAAATAGCTCTGCTGGATTAGGACAGGGCTCATCTTAATCCAGCATTTTCTCTCAGTAGCCAACCATATGCCTTTGGGATACTCACAAGCAGAAGGTGGAGACATTCCCCTTTCTCACCATTGTTTCCCTGAAGCTTGTCAATAAGGTCAACTGACTAATCAATAAAACTCCAATTCAATCCCTGAAGCTGGTATTTGGAGGCATGCTTTCTCCAACTCAGATGTCTTCAAAAGAAATACTGTAGCCCTCAATAGATCTATCCTTCATGATTTACCCAATTGTGTTTTAAAACCATCTAAACTAAATCACAAACCTGCTTTGTGGCAATGAATGTCATAGATTCATTATATGCTATGTAGAGAATATCAGCAGTCCATTCGGCTACTGAAAACGGGATTAACTGCAAAAAGAACTATGTCTATTTTATTAAATTTGTACAATACTTCTTTGATCATACCCAAAGTCCAGAAAATGTATTTAGAGGTCTATTCCCAAAGGGGCAATTTAAAAGGCAGCTGCTATTACAACATAGCATCATTGGCAACTGCATAAAAACAGTTATGTGCCTTAATAAAAAAAAGTGTCTTTCTTTTTCCACTTTGAATAATTTACTTGAAGGATTCAGAGAAATGGGGGCGGGGCAAAGAAGGGAAATAGATTGATCAGAGGACTGTTCTGTAAAGAGAGATTGAAGGAGCTTGTTTAGCTTTCAGAAAAGACATGAGGAGGGGCTTTGATAACACTCTTTAAATACTTGAAAGGAGCTCACATAGCGGAAGGCAGTATCTGTTCTCTATCATTCCACAATGCAGGACACAGAACTACATATTTAAATTACAGTGGAGCCCATCATCCAGGGAGAGATGGGGCTCCTCTTCACTGGATGTTTTTAAGGGGAAGCTCTGTCTTTGGATTCCTGCACTAAAAGGAGCAAATTGGTCCCAGTGACTTAAACGTACCATGAAACTCTGATTCCAAGCAAAGAAAATCAGCTCCAGTAAGTTTCTATAGACAGAATTAAACTGAGTAGAGAACTTACAGTCAGAATCTCTGATGTTAGTCCTGTTTATCAGACAGAAAGCAGGGGACCTTGTGCTTGGGACAGGGAGGTTTTTTTAAGACATGCGATTTGAAAGATATTTTGTCTCAAGGTGAAATAGAGTTTATGAGTGCAATAAGAGAATGAACCAGTGGATGATTTCCTCACCCCACTTATGTGGTCTAAGAGAACACTGAGTATGGTACTCTCCATGATGATCTGGTTGGACTCTATAGTGGGAGCTATAGACCTCAGACTGTCTGACAGCCTTCCATTAGATAAAAACCTTATGCTGATAAAAGCAGTAAACTATAGGACCATCAAATGAAAGTATCACACAACAACTGCAGCAGCAGCCATCCCTCAAGGGGCTACTGTTGCCCCCTGAAGATCCAGAGACAGCAAAGATCAAAGAGCATGATCAAGCAATTGGGGAACATGACCCCTTTCAAACCTACCAGACTGAATCCTAATCAGGCTTTTTACTGGCTGGAAGCATCTTGGGTATCAGTTTAGTTTGCTCATTGTTCTCCAGCACATTATGTAACCCAGGCAAGGTCCTCACGTATTGGCAGCTTTCTTGGGAAGAATTAACTTATCAAGGATAATAGAATTTGTATCATCAGCATTTTAGCAGCCCTTCACATTAGCACTCTAGATTACTTCATGTGTGTGTACATAAACTATATAGAGGACTGAGAATTATTATTTCAGGTGTCTAGTTTAAGGCAGAGTAAGAACACTGATTAAAATCTAATATGATCAGAAACTCAGTGGCTGGGAGGGACTTCTGGTGAGAGCCATGGCAAGCTGACGTCCTGCTGGTAGAGGAAAATTTATGATGAAAATTACAATTGGTTGCTGGATCCAGACTGGCGAAATCTCTCCTGAGGAAGGAGAGATTGTTGAAATAACCTATGTGACTCTGGACAGCTGCTCCTCATGAGTAGACCACAGGAACTGTTGTTTTGTGGTGTGCTTATGAACTGAGTGGCTGGGAGTTGAGGGACACCATCAAGCTCATACTCGTAACACAGCCTTTTAAGGACATAAAGCTCCATCAAGCCTCATTTCTTATTTTTTTAATTGTACTAGAAATGTTAAGACCCTTCAGATCGGCAAGGTTTTACTGTATTCATCAGATGAGTTGCCTTCTTGGAGGAAGATGTTTTTAAATATGATTTTAAGAGCTCTGGAAAATATTATTTTTTGAATTAAACAGAAAAAGGGTGCTTAGAATATGGATTTTGGAAAGTTAACAATGGATTAAGGGTTCAGATGGACTTGGAATTATGAATTAATTAGAAGAATTCTTCCTGTGGGAAATGGTGATTGTTTGGGCTCTTTTAAGGGGAAACATGATAATGGGACCTTGAAGATTTGACACTAGAGGGAGCCCGAGGATAATAAATTCATTTCGTTAATAAAGAAATAAAGAAATGATAAATGTTGGAAGTGTCATCAGAAGCCCGGTACATATTACCATATGTGGTGGACATGT